GAAGCCAGCTTCTTGCTCCCTCGTCACCTCATGACGAGGGAGCATGGAGCCGACTTCCCAGCCAATCAGGAAGCCGGGCGCCGCTTCATTACACGACGCCCGGCTTCCTGATGGGCCAGAAAGCCGTCTCCATGCTTCCTCGTCACATAGTGACGAGAAGCATGGGGGCAGCTTTCCTGCTAATCGGGAAACCGTGAGGCGAGTCTTTACATGCCACCTGGCTTCCTTAATGGGACATCCGGTACTCGGTATTCGGTATCGGTGAGTACCGTAAAAAAAAATATCGGTACTCGATACCGGTATCGGTAAACACCCCGGCCCTCTGCAGCTTCCGCAGCCCTTCCGGCTCCGCCGTGTGCTCCTCGCAGAAGTAGAGCCTCGCTGAGAAGATGCGCAGGCTCAGGTTGGGGTGGTTGACGAGGAAGTCGGCGGTGCGCTGGGAGCAGTCGCGGCACGGGCTCCACGAACTGAACCAGGTTACCCTGAACATCCTGTTGGGGTCGTGGCCCAGCCAGATCGCCAGGTAGCGCAGGAAGAGGATCTCTGCGTGGCAGCCGCTCCGGTTCCGCAGGTAGCCGAAGTCCATGGAGGTGGAGACGGAGCTGTAACGCCGTTTGACTATGTAGCACAGGTAGGTCTCATGGCGGCCTCGCGCCCAGCGCATGTTCTTATAATGGTACAGGAACTTATTACGCTTCAGGAGGAGGCTGGAGGGAAACAAGGGAAGGGTTCTGTTACCTGGAAGTCACGTTCATTTCAAAGCTGGTGTAACAAGCCCCGCCCCTGTAGCAAAGCCACACCCATCTGCCATCCTTATCAAATGAGTACAACCCTTGGGGACTTTATGGAGCTGGCTTTGTGCACAGGGGACAGACAAGCAGGAAGAAAAAGGCACCTTCACCAATCTCTTACCACAATTGTCTAAAAGGAAACTCTGACAGTTTCTTGCAGCATGTCCCCAGTCTCTGACAGTTCCTTGCAGCATGTCCCCAGTCTCTGACTGTTTCTTGCAGCATGTCCATAGTCTCTGACAGTTTCTTGCAGCATGTCCCTAGTCTCTGACAGTTTCTTGCAGCATGTCCCTAGTCTCTGACAGTTTCTCTCTGCATGTTCCCAGTCTCTGACAGTTTCCTGCAGCATGCTCTTAGTTTCTGACAGTTCCTTGCAGCATGTCCCTAGCCTCTGACAGTTCCTTGCAGCATGTCCCTAGTCTCTGACTGTTTTTTGCAGCATGTCCCTAGTCTCTGACAGTTCCTTGCAGCATGTCCCTAGTCTCTGACTGTTTTTTGCAGCATGTCCCTAGTCTCTGACTGTTTCTTGCAGCATGTCCCTAGTCTCTGACTGTTTCTTGCACCATGTCCCTAGTCTCTGACTGTTTCTTGCAGCATGTCCCTAGTCTCTGACTGTTTCTTGCACCATGTCCCTAGTCTCTGACTGTTTCTTGCAGCATGTCCCCAGTCTCTGAGCTATAGCTCATTGTGCCCCGCCGCTGTGTCTGGTGAGTTTACTTGAGGGGGTCTGCACTGGGGAGATGGAGAAGTCTGTACTGGAGGGGTGGGGGTGAATCTGTACTGGGGAGGAGGTCTGTAGCATGGGTAATCTCTTTTCGAGGGAGGAGGTCTGTGGGGGTGGATCTGTACTGGGCAGGAGGTCTGCAGCATGGGTAATCTATATTGGGGGGAGGAGGTCTGTACTTGGGGTTTTTTTTTTTTGGAGGGGGGGGATCTGTACAATCTCATGTTTAATTTACTAATTTGTATTGAGATTGTAGTCCATCCCGGCAGTGAGCTTGGAGCAGTGACTACTTTACAACACACACAGGGACCATGGGGAACACAACTAGTCACCCTCCATAAGGAAGGACGGTGTCAGCACCAATTCAGAGATTCAAATCTTACTGTTTACAGACCTGAATCTACCTGATCAGTCCGGAGATCTTCAATAACAGACAGTTTGTGTTTACTTAAAAATACAGATGATATCATAACAAAAGCAAAAAGACAAAATATCAGATTTATATTTATAAACATAAAAGAAAAAAAACACATACAATCCGTTCTAGTTTCTCTGCAATAAAAGGACGAATATCACTCACAAAATGCACAGACATCATCCTTCATATTCAAGAACATTTCAAAAGAACAAAATGATTCTAATGCATTACAAATCTGATGTAAGATATACAACTGAGGCAAGTTTCAAGTGTACATTGAAAAAAAGAATCCTTCAGCATGAATGAGCCGCGTTTGTAGAATCCTGCGGTATGTAAATGAGAAGGTTTCATGTGTTTGAGTGCAAAGTGCAGGAGAGATCTCTAATTCCCTATCTATCTATCTATCTATCTATCTATCTATCTATCTATCTATCTGTCTGTCTACATGTCTGTCTGTCTAAATGTCTATCTGTCTGTCTGTCTGTCTGTCTGTCTGTCTATCTGTCTGTCTATCTGTCTATCTTTCGTTCTCCTTTTTCCTTTTATTGAGAATGTAACATATAATAAATCATTAGTAAAAACAAGAAAATTAAAAACTCTACAACCCCACTCATTGTATTTGTTGTCATTTTAGTCTTTCTTTCTTTCTTCTATCTATCTATCTATCTATCTATCTATCTATCTATCTATCTGTCTGTCTGTCTGTCTGTCTGTCTGTCTGTCTGTCTGTCTATCTATTTATTGCATCTTACGTTTTTTACGTGGATGGTAAGATACAATCATTAGTTATTAAGCACAGGAAACTGAGAAACATTTCTTTCTTTCTTTCTTTCTTTCTTTCTTTCTTTCTCTTTCTTTCTTTCTTTCTTTCTTTCTTTCTTTCTTTCTTTCTTTCTTTCTTTCTTTCTTTCTTTCTTCCTCTCTTTCTCTTATAATCCTCCAGTAATGTATTGAATAAACCCCCAATTGATACATTCTGTTGCTCAAACATACATAATCAGCGGTAAAATGATCACTTCTGCCTCACTCACTCACTTTCTTTCTCTCTCTCCCTCAGACATTTGCATAGCAGATTTCAAATTTTAAACTTTAAACAACAATGGAGAAATCAACTTATAAACGAATAACTACCAAAAAATCAATCTCTGACAGCAGAGCTCAGACCTTCCACCGGCAGATATCACAGCCCTCTCACACGCTGAATCATGGGAATAAATCATTATGATTTTTCTTTATAGTCGAAGAAAATGAAATCATTTTGTGACTCAATGAAAGAAAATTCTACATAACAGATGATGGAAAAAAAAAGAACAACCTGCAAAGATAAGAAGCGCTTGCACTTATTCACTGAACTGTAAATGTTTATCGGTTTGAGTCAGCAATGAAATGACTGTTCAGGAGCCATTAATACAGAATCTACCATGAGCTCTATTTTGGGGGGGATTCTGGTGATTTTGGTTGAATAAGAGCAAGAGAATGAGTCAGACAGAAGGGCAGACGCAAGGTAGGTCCTCACCTGTCCATTGAGCCGGCTTCTCGTTGTGATTTTGAGTCAAAACTTCG